GGGGCAGCTGGTGCAGGGGGCTCAGCAGCTGCAGGGCACCGAGGAGCCGCAGGCTTTCAGCTGGCGGGTGAAGGGCATATCATCTGTGCCATGAATCTCGGGACCTTCAACGGCTTCTTGGGGTGGCAGCCCTCTGCTTCTTGAAGTGACACCCAAGTTCCTCATGTTTTGTAGAAAAAATAGACCCATGATTTTGAGCCACGACGGGTATGTGTGCTGATAACTTTACATTTACTTGTGCCTGTTTTTAGCTTCTGCCACCACCTGAGTCTGAACCAGCGACCTGCGGTCTGGGCCAGGTTGTCTCAGGAGGAGAGAAGGTGCCCTGTGTGCAGGAGGAAAGGACAGCTCAGCAAGTCCCTGCAGTGGGCAGGAGGGACCCTGACCAGACTCTGAGGAGGGCTGTCCCCCAGGGAGGCCCTGGGCAGAGCAGCAGTGGCTGTAACAGCAGCGCACTCCCCTGGAGGCAGGGGCTGCCACAGGCCCGCCAGGAGGGAGCCATCTGATAGGGCTCCGAGAGAGGACAAGAGGATGGTGGGTGAGGGGGAGACGCTCACTCTGCTCTCACTGTCCCCTCCCCTCGGGTCCTCTCCATCCCCAACAGCTGCGCAGGGAGCCCTGGAGAATGCTCACACTGACCAGCCTTCTGGGACAGAAAGCGGGTGGAGAAAATGAAGAATGGCTGTGGGGTGTGAGGAGGAAGGGAAACAAAACACACTTAATGTAGCTGGTGCAGAGAAGTCAAGGGGTTCCCATGGATTATGTGCTCATCATGTCCTGGGAGAATTATCTTTTCTTATCTCATTTCTTACCTCAGAAAATGAAGAAAAGATGTTTGACAAATGAGGGTGATGAGACTCACAGCGGTTCAGTGGTTTGCTCCAGGTGGTCCCGCTGGTCTGTTGGCCTCAGTAAAGCCCGTGCCCCGCCCACCTGGACAGCCCAGTGTGTTTAGAGCAGGCAGTGAATAGACACTTTCAGGGCCCGAGGATTCTGCAAACTGTGGTGAAGGTAGGCAGAGTGGGTTGCATGGCATTTGTGGAGAAAGCACTCGACTGTTTTCCACGGTCAGGGCAGAGTGCCTGTACCCAGCAAAATTCTAATTGGTTTGTTGGAGCCAGTCTTGGGAGTGGGTCCCCCAAGAGGACCAGGCGGGGAGCTAGGAGGCCGGCGCTGGAATCAGAAAGTGTGCTGTTGACGTCCGGCCCTGTTCTTTTCTCCCTGTATGGCCATCAGGCACAGCCTCCCTGAGCCTCGGCTCCCGCATCTATGAACACAGTACAGTGAGGGCAGCAACCCTATCACCAAGGGTGAAGTGAGAAGACGGGAAGAAAGCTTCTGTGGGTAGAACAGAGCAAGTGCTCATCTGGGATGACCATCATTACTGTGAGGAATATGGTGGCAAAGGGCCCAACTGCAAGGTTACAATTCTAAAATATATTTTTAAAAAAACTATAAAATACACTCAGAAAGGTGCACAAATCATAAATGTACACAGCTCGATTCATTTCAACAAGCCGATTGCTCTCTTGTAGCCACCAACCAAAACAGAATAGGACATGCCACCTTCCTAAGCGATACCCCAGGACCCCGAAGGTAACCAGGCCCGCCAGCCTTGCACCACAGGTTAATTCCAACTATATTTGAAATATGTATGGGTAAACTCCACTACCCCTTTTCTGGTCCAGCTTTCTTTCATTCATTTTGGCTTTAGAGATTTATCTGTTTCTGCATGAAGTTCATTTTCCTTGCTACCCAGGATTTAATTGCATAAATGGCACTATGTATGCATTCTCCCATCGGCAGACTTTTGGTTTCCTTTCGTTTTGCAGATTAGAGTGTGTCCCTATGGACAGTTTTGTGTGTGCTTCTGGGTGAACTGACCTCTGCCTTTGTGTCGGAGTGCTGGGTCATCGTACACGCCTGTGCTGCTGGATGTAGAAGCTACTAAGACGTTCTCAGAATCACACTGAATTCGCACCCACCTGCCGTGCTCGAGAGCTGCCGCTGTTTCACATGCTTGCGGACACCAGTGGGCGGTCAGGTGTTTTCCTTTCAGCCAGGTGCATGGGGAGTAGAATAGCTACTTGTGGTTTTAATGTGCAGTTTCCTGATGACCGATGAGGCTGAGCCTTTACATATGCTTGTCTGAATAGCTGCTTGTGTGAAATGCCTCTTCTCGAGGGGCTGGCCTTCGCACTCCCTCTCCGGAATCACTGGATGAACAGGAGCTCTTGATTTAAACGTAGGCCATGTCCTTCCTCAGAGCTCACACGCCCTGCTTGTTTCTCAGAGCTGCATCTAACCCACGCCAGGAGCTGCTCTCTGATGACTCTGTCTAGATGTGTTGCTGCTGTTTTGCCTCTCTCATTTGTATCTGTGGTCTTCCTGGAATGGATTTCTGGGTAGGAGGTGAGATAGAGGTGAAAACACAAATACAAATATTTGGTAATTCAAGCACCATCCGTAGAAAAAATCCCCATTGTCACCACATTGAGTGTCAGATATGCCACTCACCAGGCGGCCTTGTCTGTGTGGCCTGTGCTCATGCTCCTTCTGTTGGCCACGCGTCCACGGTGCACTAACACCACACTGACGAGTTACTGTAGCTTTGTAATCAGCCTTGATATCTGGTATGTAACTTAGTGCTTGGCATTCACACAGACATTTTACAATCACCATCCTATTTTCCACAAAAATCCTCGAGATTTTGATGGAAATTGCATTCAACCTATATGTAAATTTGAGGAAAACTGACATCTTTCCATTTCATACTTTTCAACTTTTCTGTGATCTTGTATTTAATGTATGGCATTTGTAAGCAGATTAAAGTTCTCTGTGAGTGTGTGTGTGTCAAATTTAATATAGTATTTTTTAATCTTTAATTGAAATATTTAGTTCATTCACATTCAAATTAATTGATAATGTATGAGGGTTTATAGCTATAATAATTTTTTCTTTGTTCTTCTTGTTCTATGTTAATTATCTCATTTTTTGCCCTCTTTGTCGTTAAAATAATGCTTTGTTGTTCAGTATTCTATCTGTTAGCTTATTGGTTACACATTCTTATATGATATAAATTCTTAAAGAATTACCTGAGAGATATAAATATGTATTTTTACCAGTTCCAAAACAAGGTTAGGAACTTAAAATACTTTAAATCTATTTATTATTTTATTTCCAATCTTTTATTATTTTAATTCTACATATATTTTCAATAAGACATTATATTGTTATATATGGTCAGGACTCGTTTGGGTTTATCCATATATTTACCTTTTCTCTGTGTCTCTTCATTTCTTCCTTGGTTTCTCTGTTTCTTTCTGAGATTATTTTTTCTTCCGCCTCGATAACTGTGTTAAAAATTTCTTTAGCTGTTGGTTTGCTCATTTCCAATATCACCCCCTTTTGTGGGGGAGAAAGCTAGAAATACATCTTTATTTTATTTTTCCTTTCAAATGATAATTTCACTGGGCGCAGAATTCTGGGTCAAATTTACTTTCTTTCAATACCTTAAAAATATCACACTTTTCTTTTCCGGCTTCCAGAGTTTGTGCTGAAGTCACTTCTCAGTACTATTGTTTTTTGTTTTGTTTTTAATGTATTATGTTTTTTCTTCTGACTGCTTTTAGGGTTTTCTTTGGTTTATTTGTTTGTTGTTTTTTTTTGACAGTTTTACTATGATGTGCTTAGACCTTATTTCTTTGAATTTCTCATGTTTGCTTTTTTTAGATTTTCTTGAATCTTTGAATTATTGTCATTTGTCAGTTTTGATAAAATTTCAA